TCGCCCGCACACTCCGGTCTATGAACGCGACATTGGTAGCTGAGCTGTGCGACGACGACTTCGAAGAACACGTCCTAGCATACACCCCCGAGCAGGCTGGTCTCTACGTCCATGGCATAAACCTCAACCTACCCGAGTTCGCGACATACCCTGGCCACCTGGTGGACAAGTTCGCCGAGGAGTGGGGCATGAGGAAGGTCACATACGTTATGGAGAACGACGTCAAAGAGGTTAAGAAGTTTTTGGACAAAGTCGCCGAGACGGGCAACTACGAAGGCCGCGACACAGAAGGCTTCGTCATCCGGTGCCAGGCGCGCGAGACCGAGGGTGCGCCGTATGTGGATTGGTTCTTCAAATACAAGTTTGAGGAGCCATATCTCATGTACCGGCAGTGGCGTGAGTGCACTAGGGCTTTGATCGCTGGAAAGCCACCACGGTACAAGAAGCACGAGGCTATTACTAAGGAGTATTTGGACTTTGCTCGCCGGCAGTTTGCTCAGAACCAAGGTCTGGCAAAACAGTACAACGCGAACCACGGCATTATCAAGATGCGCGACGACTTCCTCAAGTTCCGCGGAACAACCGGTGCGGATATTATCCGGCAGGAGCAGCTGAACGGGCCTGTCGAGAGCAAGAAGGCTGACAGGAATATTGTGCTTGTCCCAATTGCGACTATCGGATGCGGAAAGACAACGTTGGCACTCGCTTTGGTAAAGTTGTTCGGTTGGGGCCACTTCCAGAACGACAACGTCAAAGCGAAGAAGGGTCGCGGTCAAATCTTCGCTGACACCATCTCCTCAATGCTCGTCACAAATCCTGTCGTCATTGCGGATCGCAACAACCACCAAAAGCGCGAACGCGACCAGATCATCAATGACATCTCCAAGACCGTGTCTGATGCCCGGTTCGTCGCACTACATTATGTGCACGATCGATCCAACTACGATCGCATCCGACAAGCAACACAAAAGCGCGTGCTCGATCGCGGAGACAACCATCAGACGATCCAAGCAGGCTCGAAAGGCAGGGGCGAGATTGTCGAGATCATGGAGGGTTTCATGCATCGCTTCCAACCAGTCGACCCTTCAGACAAGCCAGATGATCTATTCGACCTCGTCATCGACCTCGACCCCACGGTTGACTCGCGCGAGAACCTCGAGACCATCATCGCGAAGATGTTCGAGACCTACCCAGCCCTGTTCGCCGGTAAGGAAATGCCGACGGACCCCGACATGGACGCCGCCATCCAGTGGGCCATGAACGACTACACACCAGACTTTAAGATGGATCTGTCCCAAGGTAACAAGAACAACCAGAGGGGCAACCAGAACGGCCAACGAGCAGCCCACAACCAGCAAAACCAGCCCGCACCCAAGCCCAAGAAAGCGCCACGCATGGAGTACTTCTCCGTCCGCCTCGACCCCGGCCGCATCAACGCGATCCTCGAATCCTTATTCAGAGATAAAGACGCAAACACCGCAAGCATGTACAAGCAACTCAAGCAAAACAAGCGCGTCCAAAACGAGTTCCACGTCACCCTCATCCACCGCGCGTCTGCGTCTCAAAACCAGGCATACTGGGATAAACTCAGCAAGTTACACGAAACTGCTCAGCGAACAAACACTACAGGGACCTGGGAGCCAGAACTAGGAAAGTGCGACGTACAAATGGAGCGGATCGTATGGGACGACCGCATCATGTGCTTCGTCGTCCGTCTGAACGGCTCTAGCTCCCTCCAGATCGACAGCGCAGCGGGCACAACGACAGAGGAGTTGCTTTTCACGACTGTCAATCCTACTGCACACGTTACAGTCGGTACAGCGGCCCAAAATATCAAGCCCATGGAGAGTAATGCGCTTCTCCAGCGCTGGCTCAACGCCGGCTCTGGGGGCGACACGGGTATTGGTGAGATTAGCGTGAGGGGGAACCAGGTCCTGCAGGGGAGTGTGAGGGGCGTGTTGGGTCGGATGTAGAGTGACGACGATTCTTGGACCCTTTATCGTAGAAAAAATGGCCCAAGGCAACGAAGGAAAACGGGAAATAGATGGGCGCCTGTGACGGGCTGAGGAATAAGGGGGGGTGCTTGAGAGGGTAGGCAAAGGACGGGAATGGAAGGGGAGGAGCTAGAGGCAGCGGATTGCTGGACGCGGGGGTCTTCATGAGGGAGGAGTTGCATTATCTGAGCGATTATGGCATTACGAAGGAAAGGGTTGGGTTGGGTGGTGGTTAGCATAGATACCTGACAAGCATGCCAATGAATGAAAATGATATACTTTCATGTACCCATCTAATATGATCAATATGTACGGATCGCGGACAGGCCACCATATCCGCATCTCTCCACCTCACACAAGAACAAAACTAAACACGTCTGCAGCCTGCATCCCTCTAATAAACCGCCGGAAAAACCCCCGTCCTCCCCCCATCCGTCAACATACTCGTCCCATTAACATAAGCACCCCCCTTCCCCACCAAAAACAGCATCAGTCCAGCGATATCCTTAATCCCGCCCATCCTCCCCTGCGGAATCTGATTCGTCCCATACACCGGGTTCAGACCAGCCGTCATATCACTCGGATAAGGCCCGGGACACACAATATTACTGCGAATCCCCCATTCAGACAAAAACGTCGCCATCATCTTGCCCAGGTGCGCGGCGGCCGCTTTGCTGGCGTTGTAGGCGAGGCCGGCGGAGACCCAGCGCATGTAGGAGGCGACGGATGCGACGGTTATGATGTGGGCCATGCGGTCGTCGTCTAGTTCGATTCCGTTGGAAGAGGCGAGGGAGGTGGAGCGGGCGCGCGCGTTTCCTGTGCCGGTTACTTTTCCGGGGGTCCAGCCTCGACGTGTGTTTGCTGCTTCGAGGAGGGGGAGGAAGGTGGCGGAGACGCCGATGACGGATTGCGTATTTATTGCCATGGCGTCTTGCCAGCCATCATATCCAGCGACCATGGTGTCGGCGAGTTGTTGGATGGACTCGGCTTTGTAGATGTCGGCGCCGTTTTTGGGGCCGATGACGCCGGCGTTGTTGATTAGGACGTCGACGTAGCCGATGTCTTTTTGTATCGTGTCGGCGGCGGCGCGCACGGAGGTGAGGTCTGTTACGTCGCAAGGGAGGGCGTGGAGGGTGCCGGCGGTGTTGGAGTCGCGCGGTACGTTGGCTTGGAGGTCGTTGACGGCTTGCTCGAGGACTTCGCGGCGGCGGCCGAGGAGGTAGATTCGCTCAGCGCCATTTTGGTAGAGTGCTGATGCTATGGCGAGACCGAGACCTGTGATGGTAAGCTTCTGGCTACGGATACTTTGAGCTCGAGCATGTCGAGGCGTGAGGGCGCGGGGCTTGGTGGGGTAGCTCGAAGCTTGAGTAACGTACCACTGCCGCCGCCTGTGATGACCACCACTAGCCCTTTCGCCGAGAAGATGTCGTTTGGTCTGATTGGTGTTGAGACGTCCATTGTGATGAAGGTTGGAGAGATGGACGAAAGATGCAGAAGAGTGACTTCAACAGAGTAAAAGACGGACTTTCCTACTCCGACATGGAGCACAATGATTGCGTCACAGACGGAAATAAGCCGCTTGCAAAAAGATCCCGCGGCATGCTGCGCGTTGGATTCCGATTACGATGGGTATCATACGAACCTGCAGACCTGGTGAACGCCATTCCCTTTGTGCTTCTCCTATGCCAACTAGCTGATACCCCCAATGATCTTCAGCCCCAAATTGTCCGCGGAGTATGCGAGGATATACCGGCACGGATGCCAGGCAACGTGGGACGCTGGAGTCGGCACATCGACCGTGTGTACAATCTCTCCGGTGTGCACATGCGCGATGCGAATCTTCTTCTCTTCCTTGTCATCGGAGCCCGCAGTAACATAGCTGCCGTCGAAGGAGAAGTCGACCGACTTGATGATGCCACCTGTCAGTTCCAATGTTCGTGTGCATATCCATTCTTGTGTGTCCCATAGCGATATAAGCGCATCGCCTCCACCAGCTGCCAGGTATTCGCCGCTGGGCGATAGTGATACAGCGTAGCATGCAGAGGTATGAGCATTTAAAGTCATGGCGTTTTCGAAGGACGGGTATCGAAGGCTTCTGACGCTGCCGTCGCCGGCTGTTGTGTAGAGGTGGTTGCCGGACCAATCGAAGACGCATTGGTTTGTTTGGAGGACTTGTTGGTGTTCGGAGAGGATGCTTAGGGTTGATCGGTCGATGGTGACAAGGAGATTATCCTAGAGAATGTCAGCATGTGTGTCTTGCATGGCTATGGCGGGTCTAACCTTTCTACCTGCGACCAACTCATTCCCATCTGGCGTCCATGCCAACGTAAATGGGCACTCGCCGACCTTGACTTCGCCCACACTAGCCTTGGACCGTATATCCCAGAACCTGACCATGCCATCGGAAGTGGAGCTCGCGAGCTCATTCTCGTTGATTGGGTGGAAGGATACGCGTTCGAGGGCTGCTGTTGTGTTGGGCGTGCGCAATTCGGTCGAGTTCTTAGCATTCGTCTTTTCAGGGTTCCAGATGCGCAGTGTCCTATCAGCGGCGCCTGTCGCGATGAATGTTCCAGAGGCGTTCCATGATAGCGTGCGGATGTAGTGCGAGGATGATACGGCGTTCGGGCGTGGGCTGTCTTGGTAGACGGATGTCTTGAGCTTTCGGAAGTGTTCGTGGAAGGAGTCTGATTTGATCGAGCGCGCACGTATCGGAGGCGCCATGTTTGAAATTCGATGTTTCACGCGACTGGTGAAGGGCTGGTAGTTATGCGATTGCGAAGTTTGTGGTGTGCTGAAGCTCGATTGCCAGAAGCTCAAGCTCGAGGTTCACACGGACCACCGAAGCTCAGGGTCGGCCCTTCACCTCCACGATGCCGCAGGCAATGACGTACGAACACATGTTTAGTAGTCATGTTGCAGAACAGTAACATGATATATAAGTCGATGTAGTAGCTTGGTGCCTTATTTCTCGTTATATTATTCCATTCCAACAACTGCAATAGCCGTCTAATCCTTCTTGCTCTCAGCGCCCTCCTTCTGCATGCCCTCGCAGCCAACTAGGTTTCCTGCCTTCTCCTCGATACCACCCATTCCTTGTTGGCTGGGGTCGCGGTTCGCTGATGCTGCCTTCATGGCGTCTACCGCTTGCTCCTTGTCTTGCGCACCCGATGCCTTCCATGGCTCACTGCCGGTGACGTTTCCGATCGTCTCCTAGAAGTGAGTTAGTGCCTGGCTCTATATATGAAAGGGCTGGAAAGGCGAGTCGTCGCGTACCTCAGCGGCGCCCTTGACGTATTGGGCGTGAGAAGAGACGAGACCGGGGTTGTTTGGTGCGGCGGACATGTTGGTGTATGTGGTGTATTCGTAAGAAGAAGGTGTCAGAGGTACGTAGGGAATAGTTTGAAGAGTTGTAGATGGTTGGTTGTCCTGCACGACTTGCGCTGGAGGTTTGGCCACTATATCGAGTGACGGGCACGTTGACGTCATCAAGCACATCACATGGAGACGCGCTCCAGCTCGCGCGTCGGCGTAAGCGTTAGACGCTTCTGCGGCAGCTCTAGTTTCAGTCGCGTCCAGAGTTTACTGTCTCTCCACCCGAAAGGAATAGCTACTGCCTATATGACGTTGATGGAATCTACGGGCGCTGAGGCCGCGTTCCTTAGTACGTGTGTGCTTGTTGGAGGCTCCGCCGTGTCAGACAAAGTGGCGGATATGCCGCCTGAGGCATCAAGATCATGAGAGGTTTCGACGAAGCTTAGTTCCTCAAAGGCTTGAACGTCGCAAGCCTTCGCAGCTTGAGCACCTTCTGATTCAGGCAAGTGCAGATGTACCTCGGCAACTATCTCCACGCCAAAAGATACTTACAAATCAACAGCATTGCGTGCTCTGGTACAGGTAGCTTTGTCATATCTTCAAGCACCGCACCTTTTCCCGACTGATTTATACTTTCCCATATTCTTCTATGCAAAAGTAGTCGACTTAAATCCTCATACTCGACATCTCAACATGGCACCCCAAGACTACAACCAAGGCGTCCCTGGCCTCCCATACTTCACCCCAAAACATTTGACCTCACCAGGAACGCCCGCCCCAAACACCAAACAAAATGGCACAACACCAACCCTCTTCACGCCCCTCACCATCCGCGGCACCACCCTCCGCAACCGCATCCTCGTAGCGCCCATGTGCCAGTACAGCACCGCATCCTCAGGCCCCACCATCGGCGCCTTGACAGACTACCACATCGCAACGCTCGGCCACTACGCCCTCAAAGGCGCAGGTCTAGTCTTCATAGAAGCAACCGGCGTCCAAGCCAACGGCCGCATCTCACCAAACTGCCCCGGCATATGGAGTGATTCCCAGATCCCCGCACTACGAAGAGTCTCAGACTTCATCAAAAGCCAAGGAGCGCAGAGTGGTCTCCAACTCGCACACGCAGGCAGAAAAGCAAGTACATGCGCGCCCTGGATCGCCGGCGAGCAAAAGACACAAGGCGGAAAGCGTAAAGTCAGCGTGAAAGCCGACGTAGACGCAGATGGCTGGCCAACAAACGTCGTCGGCCCCATGGGCGGCCAAGAATGGGCATGGGACGAGAAAGCCGCAGATGACGAGAGCAGCGGGTACTGGGCCCCTCGCGCTCTCAGCGAAAAGGAGATCAAAGAGCTCGTACAAGACTGGGCCGACGCAGCGCAAAGAGCAGTAAAAGCCGGTATCGACGTGATCGAAATCCACGGCGCGCATGGCTACCTGATCCACCAATTCCTCTCTCCCGTCACAAACCAGCGTACAGATGCCTACGGCGGGTCCTTCGAAAACCGGACTCGCCTGCTTGTTGAAATCACAAAAGCCATTCGAGCCGTCATCCCAGAAACCATGCCCTTGTACCTCCGCATCAGCTCCACAGACTGGATGGAAGAAACCGACCTAGGCAAAGCACGCGGGACCTGGGACGTCGAAAGTTCGATCCGCCTCGCAAAACTCCTCCCCGGTCTAGGCATCGACCTCCTCGACGTAAGCAGCGGAGGAAACCACCCCGATCAACGAATCAACATGTTCGACTCCAAAGACTACCAGATCAAAATCGCCGCGCAAATCCGGAGTGCACTCAAGAAAGAGAATCTCAGTCTTTTCATCGGCGCTGTGGGTCTTATTACTGAGGCAGAGCAGGCGAGGGATATTGTTGAAGAGGGTGGTGCGACGTCGACGATTGCGAGGATTGGGGATGAGGAGGTGGCGAAGGAGGCGAAGGCTGCGGTTAAGGTTACGGAGGGGAAGGAGCCGTTGGCGGATGTTGTGCTTGTTGCGAGACAGTTTATGAGGGAGCCCGAGTGGGTGTTGAGGGTGGCGTGGCAGTTGGGGTTGGATGTTGCGTGGCCGAATCAGTTTTTGAGGGTTAGGTTTCCGAAGTTGTAGAGATGTGTTGTGAGTGAGAAGAAGAATAGAGTGCGTTCTTGACTTGAACTGAGGCCTGGTCTTGGTCCAGGCTAATTATTAAAATCAGATTTTGGTATATGGTGTGATCGCGATAGCTTTGTTTTTGTTTGCTGGAGTGGGCTTTGTGTGGAACTCGTTGCAAGGCAACATGATCAACCCAGAATATGACTGGGCAATAGGACATGTTCGTAAGGGAATGAGTTGATTATTGTGGTAATGCTTGTGCTCCAGCAGCTCTGTCTGCACTTCTGTTGCTGTGAAGAGTATTCGGCTCTCGCGGCGCGCATCCCTGTGCGTCGATAGGCTCACTCTTTGAATGTCAGCGCTAGCCATGCCGTTGCGCATAATGTACAGCCACCACCATGTTGGGAAGTGAGGGGCTGCTACTGACTTCCAGTTTACCTCGATCATCCCGGGCATACCGAAGCTACACCACTCACACCGTTTACTCCGGTGGATCTTGTTGCCAGTATGAGCACTTCTATCGACACGCTTATCCCTCCTCTTGCGATAATGGGCAGGTCACGCTCTCCACAAGAAGAGACAGCCGTGAAGCTACCCCAAGCCACGCTTTGCGAGCCTTGCAGAGCTTTTCTTCGAGGAGACAGAACAACCTGTATAGGATGGGGGCAGAACTTTGTTCACCATGTTCATGCACGGTCTTTTCAAGAAGCTCTGGACCTTCCTTGTGACATTTGCGTTCGACTCCACAAAACTTTCGATGACTATGGTAGTATCTCTTCTTCATCAAGAGAGATAATGTCAGAGCTGACCCCATGGTAGAACACCCCTTCAACGTTCCGTATCGCACAAAAGCAACGCGCTACTACAAAACTAGGCGGACTGCAGAACGTACAGCCTTCGTCTTCGAAAGTGACCATCACTACTATGCATACCCGGACCTGGAACCGTACGAGTGTAAGAGAGGCAATTTATCGTTCGCATTACCACCACTGATTTGTGAGCAAAGTAAGACCTGACTTGCATTACCAACACATCACCGGGAACACTGGGGATGCTAAAGCTCTGTCGTTCCTTCGAGGACAACTCCATGAATGCCGAGTGTTACATTCCAAGTGCTCACATCTCGCTCCTCATAATTATTTCGTGCCTACAAGAGTTATCCACGTCGGGTCCTCTGAGGAGGACACAGTCCGCGTATGTGAAAGAGTCAAATCCACGACCAAGGAAGCCTACACAGTACTCTCCCACTGCTGGGGAAAGGACCCCCGCCACGTCATGCTGACAAAAACCACGGCCGAGATGCTCCGAAACGGCATTCCTAGTTCTCGTCTGTCGAAGACTTTTCAGGACGCTATTGCCGTTACGCGGAGGTTCAAGATAGAGTTCATATGGATTGACTCCTTGTGATAACCTACAGTCTCATCAAGTTTTCCAGCTGCTGACTAAATGCAGATGCATTTTCCAGGATGATCTCGACGACTGGGCTACGGAGGCAAAATCCATGCGCGAAATCTACAGCAAAGCCGCGTTCTGCATTGCAGCAACCTCTGCTCCATCCGGAGACACTGGTCTTTTCTTTGATCGCAACGTTCAGCAGCTCACACCAGTCATGGTCGAGATTACACAGCCAAACATCGAGGATTCGTACAGCCACAGCCGGCCTACTCCAGGTACATACCTGTTCGGCTTTCATTCACTCAACCTATCCTCCCTCGTCAACTCTTCACCCTTGAATGAAAGGGCCTGGGTCGCTCAAGAACGTTTTCTTTCTCCACGTATTTTGCACTTTACGCGAGAAGTGCTTGTTTGGGAATGTCATGAGTCCTACACCCATGAGAACTACACCAAAACAAGCGTCGACGCCGCCTCGAATGATGTATTCTTGGACCCTAATTCTCTCAAAAGATTGCTCACTAGCATTCGATGGCAAGGGCCCGATATTGATACAGTCTTGAGATCTGAGTTGTTCACTTGTATTAGATTCGGGCGCCAGCCTAACGATGGCCCAGACCTACTCGTCCAAGACACGATATATCAAGCGTGGGGTGAATTTCTGTATGATTACAGTGGGAACAACTTGACCAACGAGTCGGATATCTTCGTAGCGCTAAACGGCGTAGCAGAGGAAGTTGGAATTGTCATGAACGATCGCTTGGTTGCCGGCCTGTGGGAAGAACGTTTGATCGAGGACTTATGTTGGCAATCAACCTACATGTGTAAGAGACTTACGGTGTGGCGCGCGCCTAGCTGGAGCTGGGCGAGCACAACAGGCCCTATCCATTCTGCAGCGAGAAAGCGCCAACTCCATCGGGTGCATAAACAAGATCGGTTCCTGCACAAGATGGCAGCTGTTGTCAACCTGAACATTACGACAAAGCCTTCTGGGGAAGTCGAGCAAGCTTCAGTGCTTTTGGAATGCAGACTCATACCAGCCAGCGTCAGCTTTCGCACAGAGGATGTGCTATGTACCATGGACGAGAGTAATTGGCTGCCGTCAATAGCAGAGCCGACCATCGGAGTTAGGCCCGACGCTCGACCCAATACAATTGTAATCGGACTTGATAACGCAGACGAAGCTCGTAACTATGATCACAGAGTGATCAATGTTCAATTGCTTGTCCTCTTGCGGCGCGGCATTATTGTCGACTCGCCAAAGGAGATGGAGGGCCTTTGTCTAGTGGAGTCCACCAGGCATACAGGCGCTTTTGAGAGGATCGGATCGTTTACGACTGACGGGGAAATTACGATTTCGGTACGTGCGGCAATCGAAAGAGCTAAGGATCAAACTATCTTGCTGGTGTGATATGTCTGTGAAGATCAACACGCTTTGCAACTTTTCCAAGATGGGTCCAGGTACAGCGAGTAGGAAGCGTCGACATCGACAAATGTTCAGGATGCATCAGGGAGCTATCCTCTGCGCCTAGATTAAGGACAAACATAGCCGA